TGGCAGGGGAAGATAAGAGCAGAGGATGGGAAGTGCATACATTGTACTAGTATGTTCATACATGGAACTGAGGCAACTGGTCCCCTCTGAAGTCTTCATTCCTCCTTCAGCCTCAATGTTAGACTTAATGTCCCACATCTAGTCTCCTTACCTCCTTGAACACCCCTCACCCTGCCCACTTCTGTCCTCTGTGAGGTCACTAGTGAGAAAGATTTGAAGTGCCTCCCCTCCTATGGAAGAAATATATTCAGCAGCAAGGTAAAAGTTGTTTTCCTTAGCATCCATCCACCTGCGCCCATCTCTTCTCTAGCTATGGCCTCCCCCTGGAAAGGCATACTGGACTTCTCACTCTCCGTGCATGTAGTGGGTCACATCTCATCTTCTTAGCCATTAATGGTTCCATTACATTTGCCTTCAGTATTCTATGTAACAGAGTCTCCCTATCCAGACTTCTTCAGATAAGTCACCTCCAAAGCCTGCCATAAACTCCCCAACAGGCTTTAGTCCTCCATGTAATGTGGCTCCTGGTTCCACTGTCCACTGCACTGAGCACATCATAAAAATGGTCGCTGTTCTCTCTACTACATCTTAGAAGCCTTTGTCAACTGTGAAGTCACTCACCATGGTGACTGCCATATGACCTGTGCTAATGGAGCGGGAACAGATATCTGGCATTAAGAAAGAAATCCATAGAGGATGTTAGGGCCACTCAAGGGAGAATAGTCAATCAGAAGAAAGCTCTGAGTGTCAGGACTAGGTAGCTTCATTGCTTGTCTTTGATTCTTGACTTGTGACATTTGTCTCCACCCCTCACCTGTATCTGCCATGAAGCATGCAGCCCAAAATCAAGATGTTTTACTAATTACATTCCCCAGCTTCAAAGATCTCCTAACAGACAAAACCAGCTGTATTTCTCAAGCAACTCAAACCTCTCAATTGAAAGCATAAGCAAAACTTAACTAGAATTAACTTTTATAAATACCTATATTAGACAAGAAGGAACTTAAGCTGAACCTGTCAGATATTACCAACCTACATACACATCTATCATGAGGAACTTTCTGATACAGTAGACCACATTTAACAATGGCAGAACTATAGCCACCCTGTGGTGGCTCTGCCCTACCTCAGGATCTCTCCCACAAAAGTGCCTTGGTATCCCCAGGGGGATTCAGGAACTACTTCTGATTTCAGAGTTTATCATTTGTAAACTATTATATATGCTCAAGTAAACTCTTGAAATAATTTCACAGTACCTCAGTTTACCTTTATAAAAAGCTACAGCTCATCTCTAACTCAAGCTTTGTTTCCTTTGGAAGATAAGAACTTACCATGGAAGGTGACTGACAATTGAAATATGGTGTCCTGGTCTTTTCCAGTGTGATATTTTGTCAGCTATAAGTATTTAGGAATGACAAATCTTGTGTTTTTCACCCTTTTATAGAAAGCTTAAATAAATAAATAAATAAATAAATAAATAAATAAATAAATAAATAAATAAAGCCTTCTAGCATCCCTGAGATCAAAAGTACATCTGGATCTAAACAATAGTCTAGCACCATTAACCCCCATGTCATGAAACACTGATGAGCTGATATGTCCTGTGGTCACAAGAACTTGATTCAAAAGGGGATATCTGGCAGAGGTCAGACTCAGAACTGGAACTTTCTAGGCACTGTCCATTTTCCTGCCCAAATGACCCCTTTAGGTAGGATTAAAGTCTTCACTTGGTAAACTAAGAGAGATATCTGGAGAGGCTAAATAAGGAAGTTGTCCATAGGGGAATTACTGTGTTCAGTAAAATCTGTTAATTCCGCCAAGGACCAATACCCAGGCTCTAAAACGGAAGCATTTTCCTTGTGCCTGGCATTTAGAACCACCTGCCTCTCAAGGGTCTTGGAATCTCTCCAGATAGCCTGCTCTCTTCTAACCTTTCTCAGACTCCTCAGGCCCACCTCCAAGTTTGAAAAGAGTTTTTAAAATGTTAATCCCTAAATAATTATAACCCAAATTCTCCTCTGGACTTTAATGTGAAAGTATATTTAAGGCCCATTAGAAAAGGAAGCCAGAATAAGCAGAGAAATTACACATTTTCTCCCATATCCCATCTTCCTAAAAACACATCATTAATCAGATAAATTTATAATAAACACAGTTGAAAACTTTTTTTAAAAGCTTTTCAAGAGAGAAATATGCTTTAGGGTTGATTTGAACTTAGTGAGGCAGAGAGCTGCAGGTATCAATATGATGTCTATGGCCAAGGACTTGTTACAGTTTTAGAACTTACTACTGGTGAGAGCTGAAACATCTATGAGTTAAAGTTTTAGCCATGGGGATCCAGGATGATTATCTCTGAACTGACCTTGGGAGAGTCACAATTTCCACATACCACAATGCCTCTTACTACCTTCTGATCCCCAATGCAACAGGAGTTTAAGTGGCTCTACATTACACCTGTTTCATGTGCTGGCATTGTGAAGGTGATGTAATAGCTGCAGCTTGTTGAGCACATTTGTGAGGCACCAGACCCTCTGCTAAGGATTCTATGTATTACATCAACAATAGTCATGTAAACCAGGTCCTGAGATCAGCCCATTTACTGATAAAAAAGCAGGACAAATGGAGTCCAGTTGGTCATTCTATAGCATTTTCTAGATACATATGTTTTGACTTTACCATTTTTCTATGCATAAACTTACAGGCATGTAAAGTTCTATTTGAGGCTACTAAACCTCAGGAGGAAATTGTAACTGCAAGATTGAAACAGAATGTCTGGAAAATAAGAGTCTATTGAAGAGGAGAAAACTCTTCGGCATTTCCTATTTTATAATCATAACCAACTTGGTAACTGTAGGATGAGGATACGGGGAAAGAATAAAGAACAGCCTATTGCATCTGCTCTGACTCCTACCAAATAGGAGTCTCTGCTTAGCTTTGAAAGATCTCTACACTGAGAGAAAACATTTTTCACATCATCCTTCTAAAAGTAATTTAATGTCTGTCACTGCCATAATACTGACATTTTCTTATTTGACACTCTCATAAGGACTCAATATCACTCTTTATAATTTTAGATACCCAGAGAATCATACATAAATGCACAAAAATAATAAATTCATTCACCTCTTGTCAATAGAACCTACATTTCAAAACATAATAGGGGTGTGTGCATCCTATTGGAAATCAAATAACACAACTCATCAGTGCATTGTGAACAAAATGTCCTTGATTTTAGAGGTTCATAAACAATAATAGGTCAACAAAGAACAAAAATGCTATATATCTTCTACTGAAATGGAGCTCAGTAAAAAATCTCAACATTTTAACAATTATAATTCTAATGTGTAGATGTCTACTAACTCCATAAGGCTATGAATAGTTTCCCCAAGCCCAGTTAAAGAATTTAGCTGCACTGGAAGTCTTGGCTATAGTTTCCATTAAGGGTGATCTATCAATATGAGGTTTTCTAAATTACTCAGAAAACCCCAATCTTTTCTTTTCTTTGGACCTCTTTCTTAAGAATGTTTTCTAACATGGTGGGCTTCACTCTTTCTCTAAAGCTTCCTTTCCTGTCCCATGGCTGCCTGGGACCATGTGGCTCGACTCTATGATGGTTTAACTCAATGGCATGGCATTTTTTTTCCTGTTCTTTTCTGGTCTCCTCCAGGCAGCTGATAAGATTTACAGCTTGCTGGACCTGAAATTTTTCTTTTAAACTCCAATAAAATTGTTCTACAGGTTAAGGAAGAGAGGGAGGGAGGGAAGGAGGGAGGGAGAGAGGGAGGGAGGGAGGTATTTTTACAGATGTAGCAGTTTTGTGTCCACTATTCTCAAAGCCAAGGTGTTCATCAAATTTGATACATGCTTTACACATAATTGTTAACAGATATGTGAGCAGTTTAATCAGGGAAAAAGGCTCATAATCAAGTGCAAAAAGAATGTCTGGGATGCAAGGAGCTACCACAGTATCACAGTGCACAAACTGGAATTGAAACTTAAAAGATCGCTCCATTATCTCTGTGGTATAGACATAACTACTCAACAAGGTAGATTAAACTGAATTACAGGGCCTACAATGCAGTTATCTTTACAAACAGGGCAATTGTTGCCATCTTTAAGCTATAATCCGGGCAAAGAGCCATAGGTCTTGACTTTAAAAAGACAATTTATTGCCAAAACTAAGCTTCATTAAAAGGCAGCTGATTCTGTTGTGGCCCATGCATCATGCTAGCGATATTTAGAATGGACAAGTCTCTCACAGATCATTCCTCTCCAGTCCTGAGTACAGCTACCACTGCCTACCCAGAGGGAAGAGAAGATGTATGTTGTCCTAACATAAATATTCAGTGAACAGCCTAGATATCATGAAGTCCAACACAGGTGGAACCACCCTTTCTCAACATCAGCATGCAAATCCAAAATTTATTACTAATATCAAACCTTTAGATTTAACCAAAATAGGAATGAAATCAACTCACCTGAGTTGATAAACATTTGTCATATGAAATACTTTTGTAAGAAGCTAGAATATTTCATAATCTATTAAAGTCACTGGCTCTTGTTTTCTGAGAGAAAACAAGCTTTTAACAAGATAAACCTTACTTTTTTAGGGGCTAGAAAATGATCCATGGAAGTAGAATATGTACAAATACACACACACACACACACACACACACACACACACACACACACACACACTATCATTCCCACACTACTGGGAGAAATTCATGCATGTTCTCCAATCCCATGGCCATACTTAGCACCCCACATCATCTAAATTAAATGTAGAGCTGTTAAGTCTCCTTCAAAAGAGAAATGATTGAAGTATGAATCAATGGCTTGCAGACTGACAAACTGTCAGATTTACAGCTTGGTTTTACAGGGCCTATAAAACAGCAAGTCAGATGGTAAAACCTGCATATAATGATGGCAAAAGAATCTTCCAGAGCATTACAATCTGTTCTGGTAACAGTGTTTAAGATATCTGATTTCTCCTTTAGGTTTTCTCAGAAAAGGACCCATGTCTGAAAAAAAAACAGAGCAAAACATCCCTCAATGGAAGAAAGAGTCGTTAGAAGACAAACCACAAAGATGTGACAGTTAAAATGCAGATGCATGAAAATGGGATTAAAAGAAGAAAAGAGAGGGAAAGAGAATGAGAAGTGAACCTAAGAAATCCAAATTCCTTGGGAGCTTTTAATAATATTTTAGAAACACACTTTGGCTCACTGGTAAAATCTAGTATACATTTATGCATTGAAATACTTAGGAGATGACAATGGCTTTTTCTTCATTAACTGTCCTCTCATGATTCTCCATAAACTCTTCATGTAGGTATGCCTAGAAAGATGCCAAGTGTGGGAAGATATTTACCTGTTATAGAAATGGAGAAAAAAACAAGTGACATCTCTTTTTCCTTTAAGAGATCAAAAGCTTGTTAGAAGATGCCAAAATATACACTGAGATTTCAGTCTTTTACACTTATTGATGGAAAAACTCTTAAAAATAATGTTTGACAAACTAGTTCAAACATTAATATGCTTTTTTCTGTCCATGTAGCTAAATGTGTAAAATTTATAATTAAATAAGATATATACATTGTAATATTTATCTACATCAGTATTTTAGGAAAATGTATCACTATGATTTTTCATTGCTTTCACATTTTTCATCAAAGCTTGTAATATATATATATATATATATATATATATATATATATATATATATATATCGGTAAATATGGACTGGCTGCTTTCAGTGAACAACTCCATAATCTTAAATATATGAATTTTGATATTTAATCCCATAAATCCAAGGAAACTCTAAAAAAAAGTAACTAGACTCATGCTGTATTGATGATAGTCACATAAGTATGCAATATGCAACAAAGGATGCCTGTTATATAAAGAATAAATTCAGAAAGACAACCACTTGCTGCACATTTCATTAGTCTCTGCCACTCACTGTCACTCACAGAAAACCAACGCAACTCCTAAGTTCTTTTCTCTTGAAAAGTGTTTTAAGGGTACAGGTATTGCACATGTCTCTGTCTTCCTGGTAATAACTTGGGTTAACTCAGAACCACTCCCTGATAGATAGCTAGATTTCCACTCCTACCCTTTATATACCTTTCTACCTCCAGAAGTTTTAGGATACACCAGCTGCTTCTGGCATAGCATTTCTCAACAAGAGGTCTTCAGATCACCCACTATTCAGTATCAGGCAAAGTGAATTCCATAGATGGCTCTCCTCACATACATTAGACCTTCTCAGTCAGTTTCTTTGTAGGACACAGTAGCCCATATGTTTAAAAAGACGAGTTCTGAGCAGATTTTTGAGAATCACTGCTCTCTTTCTCCAACACCCAATACCTTCTTAATTGCCTAGGGGTAACTTCTGTTCTGAAAATCCCCAACTATTCTCCCTGATCTCCAATAACATGCCCATTGTTGATTCCAAGTCTTAGTTCTTCATTCCCTCTCTTGAATCAACCTCTGTCTTTCATGAGTTTTCTCACACTCTTGGTTCCACGGATGGTACCACCTCATTTCCCCAGTTTGCCACACTTTTGCCTCCTGCCTCACCTTGCCTCACAGGTATTCTCTCTCAAGTAATTCATTCTGGGACTTCTAAGGTCTTCACATTGACAGTCCACAAATATGTGTCTTCCAGTCTTCTCCCATACTTCATAGATATGGATGCCAAAGATTATATCTGATATTTTTTTGTTCCCACCTATTATGCCAAAAATACATTGTGATCCTGGGGTAGTAATTTTGGTGTATCAACTTTTCTAAATAAAACAAACACACAGAACAAGGTCTTTGAAGTGATCTATATTTAGAAGGTTGTGGGAGAAAGAGTCAGTTTTCTTTGAGAATGTAGTCTCTGAGATCTATCAGTGCTCCAGTAGACAGCCTCACACACAAGCACATGCTAGCAGCATTAAGTGAACTTGGGGGCGGAGGTGGGGACAGAGAAATATAGAGACAGAGAGAATTTATGAAATTGTGAGTGAATAGAGGTATTCTGTGAACCACAAAGGTATTATCTTTAGAGGAAAAACAGATATCTAATCTAAGAGTTCATAGTCTTGTTGCATAAGAGTAAATATTGTAGTATTAAATCTATATATTCCAGTGGGTCTTAAAAATGTTTTTTTCATAAAGTCAAAACTTTAAAAAATTCATCCTATTTTCTGGTTAGAAGATTAAACATGCACTGCTGCCAGATTATTAATTAATTATTTTGGTTTTTTGAGACAGGGTTTCTCTGTGTAGTTTTGTGCCTTTCCTGAACTCACTTTGTAGGCCAGGCTGGTCTCGAACTCACAGAGATCTGCCTGCCTCTGCCTCCCGAGTGCTGGGATTAAAGGTGTGCACCACCACCGCCTGGCATAATTTAATTTTTTTTAAGACAGGGTCTCACTACATAATCCTGTCCAGCCCAGAACTCACTATGTAGAGTCATACTGAACTCACAGAGCTGTTCTTGCCTCTGCCTCCCATTGCTAGATTAATGATGTATGTTACTATGCTCAGTGATTATAATTAATTTTTATTCTTGTTCTTCAATACCATTATAGAGCAGAAAAGTTGATTTTCAGAGAATAATTAGAAAAACAGACAAAAATAATGAAGTGTAGTTTAAGTAAAATCATTTTATAATATTTGTTTAAACAAAACAAGCCACGTTATTTTTCAAGACATACTTGTTTAACAATATCAAGAGACTGTGAGAATACTAATTTGAATTATAAAAAGGAATAAAATAAGCTGAAAATGTTTAAAATGTTTGTTTGAGAATTTCACACATGTATATAATGTGTTTTGATCAAGTCTGCCCTCAGTCCTTCACACTATTCCCTCTCAATTCCATGTGTACATTTATTTATTGGTTTGTTTGTTTGTTTATTTTTCCTCACTGAGTTCAGTTAGTGCTGCCAGCATGTGCCTGGGTGTGAGTCCATCTGCTGGGGCTTGGGGATAGACTCCCTCTCCCTCTCCCTCTCCCTCTCCCTCTCCCTCTCTCTCATCTTCATCTCATATCCCCATACTCCCTCTCAGCAGCCATTATTCAAAAGACCTTGTTCCATTTGTTTTTCAAGTCATTGTTTATCCAAACCCAGATTAAATTTATAAATCAAATCCTAGGATGAGCATAAACCTAAATAAATGGGCAAAGGGTTAGTCTCTGGATTACAGTTTAGTCCCAGAAAAGCCTTTTTGAGACATAGCTTATTCATACACTTGTTTTACACAAAGCGTTCCCTCATCAACTCAATCTCTAACACTCAGGACTCTTCCAACGAAGTAAAGGCATTTCCCTAATAAAAACAAATATCCCTATTAAATAATTTTTTAACTTTGGACTTTTCCTAAGGAACAAAAAAAGGACAGTTCTGAAAAGTCTCATAAAAAATCCCTCTATGGATTCCCTTTCCTTCTGTGCACTCCATCTTTTGTTTTAAATTAGCCCTGCTTGGTTTCTTTGGTTCATTTCCCTAGTGTTTCACTCAGGCACAGGTCTTTACTGAGTGTTGAGCCTAGAGACAATCTAGCCAAGGTTAAGTAATGGATACTTCTATCCTTCTAAGAACAAGATTTTCAGTATCTTACATCATTTCATTTGAGAAGATTAATAAAAACATGGAGAGAAATACAATGAGTCAAAATTTAATGAGCTTTTAAAAATCAATATATCCAAAGTTAAAAGAACATTGGGCTTTTAACTTGGGCTCATTGACCAGGTATATTCAGTATCTATTGTATAGTAGGGACTGAACTGTGTGTGTGTGTGTGTGGGGGGGGTCAGACACAAACATTCATGAATATTCCAGAGTAAGTTTGAAGCTACAGGAAGCAAAAAAGGAAAGTGTTGGGTGAGAATCCTTGACATGGAAGATATGATGTAGATCCAGGGACATGTGCCAGGATTGTGCTGGCCAGAGGAGGTATCTGTGCAGCCCTTCAAAAAGGAAGGCACAGGACAAAGTTAGGGTCTTTCTTTCCTACCCTTCCTCCAGTCTGCCCTCTATGACCTAAACATGACTTAGGAACACCAGAGAGCTCATGGCTACACCATTCACCTGACCAAGAGCAGACTCAAGCAAATTCTCAGCTTTTCAGGGTTCATGTGAAAGAACAAATAAAAGCAAGATCTGAAATCTTATCTTGCTCCTTCCTTAAATTCCTGCAGTACTTGTTCACTGTCTCCTGGAAGAAGTTCAAGGCACTTGAGGTTTTTATTACATAATTTCTCCCTCTCTTTGCAGCCGCATTTTTGTCCTGGTCTTTAGGGTCAAATAAATTCAATGCATTGCCCTGAGCACTCCCCTTATACACTTCTGTGCTTGTATACATCCTGTCTGCTCTTTCCCCTGGAGTGGCAGCCCAGCCCCATCCTAGCTGCTGGACTCATTGTGTGAATGCAGTGTTTTCTGCATTCAAAAGCAACACAACCATCATCTCTACGGTACCAGATGAAATCAAGCCGTCTGTGTACAATCCTTCATCCTCATCAACACTAAAATTAGAGATATTACAGGACTATCCAATGCATGTCTTCTTCCAAGAGCCCAGGATCATCTCTATGGCAGGTGCCACTATCTAGTCTTGCTTCTTGTAGCTATTAGCAAAGCACAAGAAGAAAATAAGGATGTAATAAACACTGAATGAATGAATGCATGAATATTGAATAGTTGACAGATTCATTCAAAATGACTTAAACACTATTTCCTTAGTGCTTACTAGATAGCAAACTTTTGTAAGACACTGAAGGAATGAAGGGAGTCGAGACATACTAGTATGCTTAAGAAGTTTCATGCCATGCAGGGAAAGCCAAATACAAAAAGATGCAATTATAATGCCACACAAAATGTGCAGTGCTAAGGTGTGTAAATGGCTCAGAAGTAAGACTTGAGAGAAAATATTGAGACAGAATATGGCTATAGCAAAGGCTTTAATCTAGGGAGCAAGGGAAAATAAATTTGGTCAGGAGGCTTCAGACTGATTTAGCAGCCACTGGAGAGCCACTGACAAGCTTAGAAGAGAAATGGCCTATTGATGCAAGTGACATTTTAGAGGCACTATTTGGCAGCCTGCTGAATTCACTAGAGCTTTGAGATGGTGTCATGTATGAGATGACCTGAACTTCCTTGTCCTGAATTATAAAATGAGGCTTTCTGTCTTATAAAAATATGTTGTTACATACCACTAATGGTGTTTATCTCATTAAGAGAAGGTAAGAAACCATGCTGCCAAAAGTTAAGCCTGGGACAAAAAAAGGTGATG